ATCTTATAAGGAATCTTGTGTTTCATTTTCAAATCTTAGATTTAAAAAGAAAAATTTTTACGAATTCTTAACTCAAAATAATTTGCTAATTTTCGTGATTTTTCCATATTTTGTCAATTTTTGAACTTTAAATGCTTATAAAAAAAATTGTGACTAAGAATTTTTAATATTTTTCATATGCCTTTGAAACGACATATTAGGAGCCTTCTATTAAATTTTCAAGCTTTCGCAACCAACAAATAAAATTTTATTGATATTTTTAGAAAAAAAACTAAAAAAAAATGGAAAATGAAAATGTCCCCAAACAGTTCAAAATAAATCAAAATATTTTGAAAATGTTATCGTGTATAGAAAATGCAAATATTAACAACCAGTGAAAATTTCATGTATATACGTTCATTTGTTTTAGAGTTACACCAATAACCAAAATCGATTTTTTGGAAAACCAATTTTGCGTAAAAATTCCCGTTTTTCCTTAATTTTTATGTTGTTTTTCCCGGCGCTTGTGAAAACTACTGGGAAATGTTTACTTTTGACCCCCCAAAGTACCAACTAGATTCACTTTCCTATCAGAAAAGGAACTATTGAAGAAAATCGAAGCACTTTTACTGTCCTAAAACGTGATGACAGACACAAAAATATAAAAATATAAAAATATAAATAAAAATATAAAAACATACATCATTGTAAAACCAATACATTCATCGCTCCGCTCAGAATCTAAAATTAGCATAACTGTACAAGTAAAAAAAGGTAGGCAAGTGGGTGTCGCTCTACTGTACAGTATGTTATTACAAGTGAGCCATTATACTGAATTGTGTTAAATTAAAATTCGATGATATTATAATATCATTGCTGAAGAAAAACGAATCTGAGCTAAGACAGGAGTGTCAGCCTATGATAATTATATTTTTAACTACAAAATAATTTTAAATTTTTAAATTTGACAAATTTTTTCAAAATTCAAATGTTGAATGAACTTTAATAAAAAATCGACCATGTATTATTAATATATCAAACGCCTTGTATTAATTTTTCACGCTTCTTGATCCAACAAATTTAATAACAAATTGACAATAGAAAAAACTAAAAAAAAAACGAAAATGTCCGTAAACAGCTCAGAAAGAGTGAAAGTGTTATAGGAATTGATAAAATATAGTGTAAATTGTTAAAATTATATACAGTTTTTAATTAATAAAAATGAGATAAATAATAAATTATATATGGTTGTGTGAATAATATCAATATTATCCTATGTTGTAAAAATTTGAACTTCAAACACTCATAAAAATTTGAATGTCCGGTAGATATTTTTTTCATAAAATTAAAAAAACCTCATATTATATGTATTATATGTTTAAAATTAAAATAAGATTATATTATATATTATATTGATGTCAATATTAACTATATAATCAAAACTATTTAAAATGTAGCTAATATTTATTTAATAGATTAAATTATCGTACAAACATTGCTTCATGTCACTTATAAGTTACAACGTAAAATACGTTACACTTTTACTAAAAAATCTATTTAATTCTAATGAAATTATTATTTTACTTGTATTTTAAAAAGTAGATAATTGGGTTAGAAATATAAATCGAGTTATAGAATTGTTATGCTTAATTAATTGGTTAATATTTTTATGCAAACAGGAGCTTTAATTAAAAAGTAGGTTTGCGACGTATGAGCTAGGAGGCAGCGCACCATGTAGAATTCATAGGCGACAATTTACGCAACGGTCTGTAATGACGCGAAACGTCCTGTACGACTGTCCGTGAAATAATAATGTACTTTTCCCACGATTACAACAAGCGGGCCGCGTCGCGTACACGATGGGCGTGGTTACGGCCTACCGCGACGGCGGCGATACGGCGCACAACGCCATCTCTTGAGCGTTGCATTCGTTTCACTTTTACTAGGACGGCCTCTTAAGTGAGCCTTCTGGTTATTCTGAGTACGATTGAGTTCGATTCGACGATAACACTGATATATCGAATGATTTTATCGATACACGATAATTATGGAAGAACTATATCGATGAAAAATTATCGATATATCGTTTCTAAATATCGATATTTTCGATATATCGTTGTCATCCCTATTCACGAGCATACCTTATTATTATATTGTTATGATTATTGCTCGCTAATACAGGAATTACCACAGTATTATGTAATAACCGTCCCCCGACCCCCACAACCCGCAGTGATCGGTGTCTGCACGTCGTTGCTCACGGCCGCCGATGCCGTCAGCGCCTCCGTCGAGTCCGGTGGTACGACACCGGTGGAGCAAACTGTCAAAAAAGTCCGATTATTGTACAAATTCCCTCTAAATACACGGCACTGACCTGCCCCACCACGCATCAACATTGAAAAGTTCCGTCGTGGGCCAAGACAGATCCCCGCCGCAAACACAATTTCACTTTTCCAACGGCGATCCATCTGCCTGGTCGACGTCGTTACTAGTGATGCTAAATTGTTATCAAAATTGGTAACTGTTACCAATTGTTATTGTTACAAAAAAAATAACAGTGAAAATAACTGTTACTGTTATTTTTTCCATCCAAAGCACCGATTGTTACTATGTTACTGACTGCCGACTGCATGCCAGGCGCCAGCGTCAGTTTGAGTACTTGTCCCCTACTAATAGATATCCGATCTCGAATAAGTATATAAATGAATAATTGTATATGTATATTATGTTATAGTTTATGGCAGGGGCGTCATTTCATTTTTTTTTTGTTGCCAAAATGTTTGCGGGCCATTCAGAATTCAGATCATTAACAGGCCACATAGAAAACTTTTTTTTTTTGGCGGGGGATGGGGAAAAAAACTAGAATATTTGTATAATTTATTTAATATGTCACTTATGTAAGTATGAAAATATCACAATATTGTTACTATTGTTGACGAACTATGTAGTATGTATAGGTACTTTTAATGTATTTATTTTGTATTGTGGATACTAGTGTACAGTAATATTTACACTTGGTAAATAAATGTATAGGTATATAAAACCATTATAATAAAATACCTAACCGAACCTAATCTATGCAGTTTTTCTCCATGCATACTCAAAATATACAATATATAAAACCAGAAATGTATTTTATGGGTACCCTTCTTTGCAATGTTTGTGTTATAATTTTATCAATTATAATATTGTGGGACCACAAAATGACATCAATCATTCTTGAAAATTAAACATTAGTAGAATACATTTTTTTTTTAAAACTGAAAAAGTATAAAAGATAGGTATACAATATAAAAGACTTAGGTTTATCGGTGCTTATATTTATAGTTTTCAGGCTAAAGAAGACGTCTTAAAGAAAAGTTGCTACAAATGTATACTCTGCACCCACCAAATGAAGACCCTGGTTTATGGCTTGTACTAATTATTATGTTTTATAGTGCTTATATCGTTATATGTTATTATTAATTATGATTAAATAAAAATATTTTCGAGTATTAAAAATCTGTATTTATTTATTTTTATTGATTCATATTAAAATTATCACATCATTAAAATATAACAAAAATTGTTCGTGGTTTAGTTTTAGCTGTAATATTATATACAGCAGTGAACTAAAGGAAACAAAAAATCCTTATTAAAATAGTATGTCTGTATAGTATATCTGTATAGTGTATATAGTACTATAACTATAGTCTGTGCTCTGTAGTGGCAAGATATTGCAAACAAGATTATGCAGGTCTATTCCTGAAATAGATGTGTCCCATCTTGCAGTAAAATGTTTTAGTATTAAAATATGTATCTGTCATACATATTACATAATTTATTCTGATTTCTTGCACATTACTGCTAGTTAGTAGTTTCTATTGTCAGTTATTGTCTTGATGAATTAAGTTTATAAAAACAATTTTAATATTATTTAAAAATATGGAGAGACGCACAAGTAGTATTTGGGAATATTTTACTATTTTTGACCAATTAAAGAATATTGCTAAATGCGATACATGTCGAAAAAAATACTCTTATAAGTCAACTTTGACAAATCTCAAAAAACATTTATCCACTTGTCATGGAATCGAACTGCCGATAAATTCTTCGAAGGTAAGTACATAATAAAATCAAATTTATTTTAATTGGTCACTGAATAAATTTAATTATTATATTTAAATAATTTAATAACATATTATACAATTTTAACTTTTAGCAACTAGTTTATCATGAATAGTTATTAAAAGTATAGTTTGATAGGTACATTAATTAATTTAATTAGTTTGACATCTTTTTAATACCAATATTATGCATATTTACATTTAATTAAAATATAATCCAATTAATCCAATATTTTATGAAATTTAATTCAAAACTGATCAAGATACAAATTGTATAGATACTCTAACAACTATGTAAATTTCTAAATTTGAATATTTATATTTTAACGAATTTTTAATTTATTTATTCTAGAATCATAATGAAAGTGAACAAATAGATGATCCCACACCAGTTGCATCATGTTCTTCTGCAATATCAATACCAACAGCATCTACTTATATGCCTGATGTATCTGACCAAATCCCTATATCATCTTCATTAAATGCTTTCTCCTTGATCCAAGCTTCAAATTCTACAGTCCGCAAACGAAAACAAACATCTGTTTCAAATTATTTGCCTAAAAAAATATCAGTAGATGCTAAAAAAAAATAGATCAAATACTTTTAAAACTTTTCGTAAAAGATTTTCAACCTTTTAAAGTTGTTGAAGATTTGGGTTTCAAAGAATTTGTTAAAGCGTTGAACCCCAGTTATGAACTGCCAAATCGTAACACAATATCAAAAGTCCATATTCCGGCCATGTATGAGAGATGTTTAGGAGAAATGAAAGAGTTGGTGTCTACTATTGACAGTTCTTGTTTGACCACTGACTGCTGGACATCCAGGAACAATGAAAGTTTTATGGCAATCACCATTCATTTCATTGACTCCGAGTTTGAATTAAAGTCTATACTTTTAGAGTGACGTCCTTTTAACATGAACCATACAGGAATTAATTTGAGCCAAGAAATTAAACAAGTATTAGTTTCTTGGAATTTAAAAGACAAAATTACATTTGCGGTCTCCGACAACGCTTCCAATATTAAAAATGCCCTCAATTCATTATCTTTTAAAAATATGGGATGCTTTGCTCATACACTGAACTCAATAGTACAGTCAGCACTTGTTCTTGAACGTGACCTAATAGACAGAGTAAAAAGCATTGTATCACATTTTAGGAAAAGCACTGTAGCCAATAATGCATTTAAAACTTACCAAATAAATAACGGTGTAACAGAGCCAAAGAAGCTTATACAAGATGTACAAACTCGGTGGATCTCTACCTACTACATGATTAATATATTTGCTGAGATGGAAACATCAATAAGAGGTACATTAGGTTTATTAGATAATGCTCCAGATACTTTGAGACCTGAAAATTGGATAATTTTACAAGATTTAATTAAAATACTTAAACCTTTCGAAGAGGCTACTAAAGCAATAAGTGGACAAAAATATATGACAGCGTCGCTTGTAATTGTTATAGTCCAGGGATTGTACAAAGTGTGCAATAATTTATTAAGAATGAATTTGTCCGAAAGAGCATTGCTTGTAGCTAAAAAGTTATTAAGTAATATGGATGAAAGGGAGGGTTTTAAAAATTGTGAAAAAAGTATGACTCTTTCTAAGTGTACATTCTTAGATCCCCGATTTAAACACTTACCGTTCATGAATATGAACCCAATAAAAAATGAAATTATTGAAAATATAGCACAAATTATTCGAGATAAAGAACAACCAAGTCAATCAGATGTAAATATGCAGCCGACTCCAATACCCGAATCTGGAGAATTATCAATTTGGAGTGAAATTGATAGTAATGTGGCAAGATTTACACCATTGGGGACTGCAAAGTCAAGAGCAATAGTTGAAGTTCAGCGCTACTTGGACGATGCAGTTATATCCAGAAACCAAGATCCACTTAAATGGTGGAAAGACCAAAGCTATAACTACCCTAACTTAAGTATATTGGCCAAGAAATATTTATGCCATTTAGGTACATCAGTTCCCTGTGAAAGGATATTTTCAAGTGCAGGTTTAGTGCTGAATGACCGCCGCTGTCGTCTTAAAAGCGAAAAAGTAAATATGTTGTTATTTCTTCATTATAATACAAAATAATTTAAATAATATTGTATATTTATATAACAAACATTGTAAAAGTTAAAATGTTTTTTATTACATTATAAATGTAGCAAACAAGTGGTTTTATTATATTTATTTTCATGTTATTTTTATTATTATTATGAGTTGCTCTTTTTATAACAAGTGTTTATAATTTATATTCATAATTATTATATATAATAAATATATATATATATATAATAAATAAGGCATAACTAAAATATAGGTACTTACTGTTTATAACTATTTTAACTATTACTATTTTACTAATAGGTATTAGTATTTAGTATTAATAATATTATACTATTTATACTATATTACAAATTTATAATAACAATTGACTAGGTACTGTTTACGAACTTAAACTGTTACTGAATAGTGAATACTGTTGTCTGTTCTGTTACTCTGTTATTCCAATATTTTGATTGTAACTGTTATTAAAAACGATAACCACTGCACCGATTCGTGTTATAAATTGTAACCAAGAAAATGGTGTAGGGAATGATGGTTGTTCATTTGCTATGCGCATCATACGATAGATAGGATTATTACGGCCGTAGTTTGTAGAGCAATTTGGGATGGAGAATGTTGTATAAGAACGGAGGGAACGCTGTGGTACTTTAAAATTGATACTGGAGAGAAGAGTGGGGGCATATTATAATATGTATTTACTTTTTTGTATTTACACCTTTTACTAATTTTACACTTGTCTAACGCAGAAAGTAATTTAGGAGACATTATTTCAATTGTCCCCCTTTTTTTCATATCAGAACTAGTACTTGACTCACCAAACTGAATACTTTCTTCTAAAGTGGGGATATTTTCTTCGCTTGAACAACTTATGCTCAGAGATTCCGGTTCATCAAATTGATCTAATAAATAATGCAATAAATTACAATTAAAATATATTTTTAAATAGATATTAGAAATTATTGAATTATTTTAATATTTTATTTATTTACCTATATATTATAATTCATTGGTTTCCGAGTGTTCTCTCTTTTTTTGTTGCTCTAATTTTTCTAACTTTTGAATAATTTTTTTTCTTTTACTGCCAATTTATAATCAGTTCCTAACATACAACCTGGTCTCCCTTTTTATCGCTGCAATAACAAAAACTTTTTATCTTCTTCATTTTGAATCATATTTAATACATTTGCATGAGAAATATCAAAAAGGTCGTCCAATTTGTCAATAAAATCAGAAACTTTATTTTTTGTGTTTCAGATGTTCTTTTAGATAACTTCTATAAATTTCGCCACTCTTGATATAAAGCATCTAACTTCGAGATACAATGATGTTGTTCTCGTATATGTATTCGCGCCTTTTCCCAAAATATAACTGTTTCTTTTATAACTAATTTCGCACTATCACGTAAATTTAATTTAGATTATAAAAGAACCTCATTTCTTACTATTCTTATTTATCTACATTTCTAACTTTATCAAACATTACATTCATTAGGTGCACAATTATATAACTTATGAGTTCTATAATATATTAACTTAAATACCATTAGTATAAAACTATTGAGTAAACATATTATAACATATTATTGGATTATACTCAAAAAACGACATAATATCAACACTGTTTTTCAATTTTTCAACCCTCTTGTGGCACGTGAAAGGGGTGAGTGATCTTGACTAAATTTAAGTCGAATTACTTTTGTATAATAATAAACAATGTGTTGGGGGGGGGGGGGGGGTGAGAAATCAAAAATATTAATTTTTTTTCTTCATCTATTACTAAGGGCCACCCTATTGTCCGCGTATCTGGGGCTGCAGATGTTCCTGATCAGTTCATCATTTTTGGGGTACCAAGAGCCCAGTGCACCCACGACGAATTTTACTACTTCTGAGTCAGATCCATGGATGCTGGAGAGCTCCTCACTAAGGGCTTTATAACGCTCCGTCCTTTCTCTGGCGGCGGAATCGAGAACGGCAATGCAGTTATCAAAAGGAATGGTTACATCTATTATGAAAACCCTGTTATTTTTTCTGATTACCAAGTCGGGACGAAGGCCGTTGCTGCCACAGACCTTGTTTTTGGCTAAGACTTCGCTCTTGTTAGCCGCTGCATTCCTAATCCTTGCGACAACTGAATTGTGTCTGGCTAAATAGAGGCCGGAGTACCGCATGCAGTGATCGACAACGTGGGCAAGGCTTTCAATAATGTAGCCACATCATCGACACCGGTGGTCTCCGGACCTCCAGGAGCTAGAGCCATTTAGCGGTACTAGACTCAGCCTGTCTCGGTGGATGAACCTCCAGTCGGCGAATCTGGTGTAATCGATGTTTTTCAGGAAGTGTGATGATGTGGGGTGGGCTGCGACGCACTCCATGGCCCTTCCTTGGTCAGGTTTTGCAATCAAGTCAGCACTTCTTGTTGCCCTAAAATTATTGCGCATGGTACGCATCACTGCTCGCCTATTCTTAGGCTTGAGGACAGAATCCTGGTGAGTGATGCTCACGGTTTCATTTCATAGCTTCGGGTGCGTTTGGAAGCCATCCTCGCACGGGACCACACCCCTCTGACACCTGTTCCTCTTGTGACGCTAAAGGGACCTCCTTCCTCACCAGACAGGTAGAGCCCGACCTCATCCGTTGACGGAGTTCTTCCTATCCGGCGCTCTGTTGTCGATGTTACGTGAGACCTTGCTTCAGTGGCTACTCGTGTGTCTGGTGAGGTTTATAGCTTGAAGGCGCTGTCAACTACCGCTATGTCAGAGTCTTCAGCAAGTACCCTAATCCCACAGCACCCGCTGCCATAGTTACTCACCCGAGGCTTCCTAGGGGACGTATAGCGTGGCTTTTATCTCTGGTCTCAAGATTCTGTCGATCCTCTCCCAGGCTGTCTTTTGAAACGTTCCCATTCTCATCAAGTGCACCGTCGACGGGAAAAAGAACGTTTTCAGAGCGTGCAGGCGCTGCCAAGGCGCCAGCTTGCTCCTCATGATGGAAAGCCCGATGCTTATGATCTGCTCAAGAGTCGACATGTGGGGAACGATATTGAAACCGACTTGGGCTCCTAGGAAGGTTGCGGCCTTCCTGGAGTGGCTTTATCTCGTGGTCCCCAATCTTTACAGTGGAGGGTCTTACTCCGACGGTTGTCTTGCCGGACATGTGGAGAGAGGCGCACTTGCCCGGGTTTATCTTCAACCCCAGCCTGCGCAGTTCATGTCTGGCGGTTTCAATTTTGGCCTGAAGGTCGGTGGGGCTTTCCTCAAGTAGGCATCTGCAAATGCCAGCATTCTGTGCTCCACTGCCCCATCCTGTAACGTCCTAACTACGGGATCAATGGCTAGGATGAACAATAGACCACTGAGGGGACATAATTGTCTAATACCGGACCTGACAAATATCTTGCTGGTAATTCCACCCGCCGTTAATACTGTAAAAGTCGCACCTGAATACATATCCGCACAATACATATCAATAATCTGGCATAAGCCATCGCCTGCACCGCTGTTCTTGATGGCCTTGAGTAACGCCTCATGTGGTACATCACTGAACGCGTTAGAAACGTCCAGCCAAGTGACGCAGCATTCGCCCTTCTGGGGGCGGGCGATCTCAAGGCGGCGTTGGAGGGTGTAAACATGTTCAAACGCTCCATCCGCTTGCAAGAAGCCCTTTTGGCACGAACTCAGCACTTCGTTGGTGATCAGCCACTGCGTGACCCTGTTGGCCAGGCAGCCCGTGTAAAGTTTTTATAGGGTGCGGCAGAGTGCGATAGGTCTCCAGTTTGAAATTGTCTCGGTCACCTTTCTTGTTAATTATAATTGTGGTTGAAGCTTTCCATGAGTCAGGGATTTTTCGGTGTTTCAGGCATGTGTTTAACAGAACGGTGAGGAGAGTACAAGAGGAGTCCAGGCGTCTCCAATGTGCGTATGTTAGCCCGTCATCTCCCAGCGCGGTGTTTTCGAATTTGCCGAGCCGTGTGTGGATTTCATCTAGAAAGTTGACGAAGTTTTCGTGGGTGTCGTTCCGGGAGTTGTAGCACCTGTATAATCCTGCAGCCTCGCCCCTGGATCCAGGCGAATTCTCGGCCCGATCCGGAAGACTCAGCTACGAAGTCGGCCGTGGGAGTTAGGACTACGGTGCTGGTCACCCACCGATCGTCCTGAGCCGGGCTCTAATTTTGCTCGGAGATCAAGAGGACTTGGGCGAAAGTTTCTGCGGCGGTCTGTAACGCCAGGCTCTGGGCCGTGGTGCTCTGTTGCAAATTAATCTGTAGGACGTTAATTTTCATATTTGGGTGGAGGAGTGTAGCTCGTTGATAGCTTTTCTTCGGGCAGCGCAAGCCCCGGAGCCAGGCTTGTGAGGAGTTCGAATGGCCTTCATGCGGTCACACGCCACGCAGTGATCTTCACCCTTTTCGCAGGTGGCCTGTGTGTGGCCGTTTTCGCCGCATCGTCTGCAGGCGTGCGAGAGGTCTGGGCCGGTGCACTGGCGCGTGGAGTGGCCGAAGCCGTGGCAGTGGTAGCACCTTGCTGGTTCCAGTCTGCGCGGCCGCAAGCGGCATTGCGTCCAACCGACGCTGATGCAGGTCAATGTTCGGCTGATTTCTGTAGGGACTGTGGCGGTGGCCATTTGGCGTCCTTCCCAAGTGGTCCACAGACCGGTTATATTAATCTCGTTTTCAGGGGTAAATTCGTTGTCGCGTATGGCTTTACGAATGGCCGCGAGGACTTCATCTTTCGGCTGTGTGACGGAACCTCGTGACCACGGATCCTGCCATACTTTCGGCGAGTTTGTTGCGGATGACGGAGATGGCCGCAGTGTCTTCCTCATGGCCTTCACGTGTGCTCCCATAGCCTCGAAGTCGATAGCCGTGCCCCTGACAGCCCGCATGGTGTCAGCATACGTCTTGCCTTCGGCGACTTTGACGAGAAGGGCAGCTGGTCTCTGGACGATTTTCCTCGACGGCTGCGGTCTCGGAGCGGGCGGTTTCCTGGTTGCCTTCTGGACCAGAGTGAAAGGGTCTTCTTGTACGACCGGGCGATTTTCTGGCTGTTTGACTGGATCGGTTGGCGGGACTTCCTTCCCCTGGGCTGGAGGTGTTGCCTTGGAAGTCCTGATATCCTGATATCCTGGCCTTGATTTCTGTTGGGTTGTTATTTGCAGTTTTGGATACCGTCGGTTGATTGGGGGGGGGGGGGTCTGTGATGGTGGAGGCGTCTTTTTTGTTGGGTTGCTGGGCGGTGGGTGTTGGTCGATCCTTGGAGAGGAGACGCAGGGCCTTGCATACCTGGCCTTAGCGACTTTGGACCCAATCTGGTCTTCGTGGTAGAATTCGTCGGCGAGGCCCTCTACGAGCTCGCAGGCGTACATGGTAGCCATGGCGCCAAGTAGGCTGTCGTTGTAGATGTTGGTCGGAACCTTGGAATTATATATATATATATACCTACCCTAGTATCTATAGTTCGCTAAAATAATATGACAGTTGTGTTAATTCCGTGATACTAACCAAAAATTAAAATTTATTTTTTTTTCAATATTCTATTTGATTACTTCAATTCACTACACATAACAGTAACGATACGGTTAATTTATTTATAAATATATTCTTTACTCTAATGACCATTCATGATTTTGAAAGTAAAATGTCTTCAGTCCCAATTATTATTATGTATCATATATATATATATGATGTACATTGTACACATAATACGTACAATGTACATATAAATGCTCTGAGGGCCGGTATCAACGTGTCATCGACAAAACGTATTCGTTCTCTGCGTTCTCTTTGTGGTTTTGAACTTTGTAGTATTTACAAAATTATTTAAAAACTGTAAAAAAAATTATAATTTGCTGAGTGCCAACTCAAATACTTAATGTATCAATGTGTCAACTGACACTTATACATATACATATTGTACACTCTGGGAGGGGCGCCCCTAGAACTCCGCTTCGGGGCGGCCCTGGGTTCCCCAACAATCATTTAACATTATTTTACAATTAATATGAAGCAAACTGTATCCGTTTTTATGAACAAATAACTTCCTTAATTTTGATTTCAGATGAGTCAGATCAATATACACTTTACTCAACAGTCAACTTGTACTCTGCAGAAAATTGTCTATAGATCGTATGGAATAATTTGTAAAAATTAAATCTTATATTATTGTAAACTTTCATTGTAAACTTGAAAATATGTGATTTTAAAATCATGTTTAAATATGGAAATAGTTTAGTACATACTACAGACATTTTTTCAGCTGAATTCAAGAAGTTTTTCAGAATCAAAATCAGACAACGTTAATTAACTTTTTATTTCACTAGTCTATGTAGGGACAGAAAATTGACTTTTTCAATTTTATAATTAAGTGCAACATTATACAATAATTATCTTTCTGAGGCTTTAATAAAGAATTATCATCAAAACGATTGTTTTAATTGGTCATCCGATGCATTTTAAATATAAAAAAAAATGTCATGGTCCAAAAATCAAAAATATGCTATATTTACAGATTTAATAAGACAAATAAAGCTACTACCACTAGACGTTCACATAATATCACCATACGAACAACCACTACAACTACCACCTCCACAGCAAAATATCAGAGTATAGATGATTTTTTCCTTGATCGTATTTTTTATAATAAGCAATAACATATACAGTTTTAACACAGAATGTGATTTTTTTTTAATTTCAAAAACATTTACCTAAGTTAAATAATATCAAAAATAACTCCAAGGTCATTAATTTAAGTTAAAAAATATTTGTAGTTTTATCTTATATAAAGGCTGTCCCGTTAGGATATAGGTACCCATTAGCCGTAGAGCGGGACTCGCCACCCGGGCAAAAACCAGTTTTTTGCTTTGTACCAATGAACTAAAAAAATATTAAAAATCATGAGATTAATGGAAATAAAATGTTGAATTTTGAACATTTTTACAAAGATAAACTCTATAAAATGGCTAAATTCAATTGTTTCAAAAACAAAAAAAATACTTTTTTACCAAAAAACTTAATTTAATTAAAAAATAAAATATGTGTATTCCATGTCTCTGTGAATCTAATAAAAAATAACAGATTTATTATATATGATATCGCAATTGGTAAATCCTCGAGGGATCCCCTGTATAATTTGTATAAGTGTATATTATAAGCCTGTACCTTTCATAATAAGAATATGATGCATAAAATTTGTTCAACAATGATCATGAAATTTTTTTCTTAATTAAGAAAAACATTTAAAAAAAAATTAATCATCAGTTGTATTTGTATTGGTAATTGGATATATTTTGTTTTTATATTGAATAGGGCCTGAAGAATAAGTGATTTTTTCATATATTTTTTATCTTCGCTAGTGGCGTTATCATAGTTTAATTTGTTCAACATTTTTATAGAACCTAGGCATAATATAAAAACAACTAAACACGATTTTATTTATTACTTTTTGTATAA